AAAGTATGGACGGGTGTCAAATCGATCTGTTTCAATCCAATGAAATATTTGCCATCGAGCAAAATCAATGTTAATAAGATAAACCATGTTAATTCTTTGACTGAAACTTAACTTTAAAAACTGGAATTATGATAAAATATTTCATAATACAAAAAAATAAATCGGATACTTTCATCACCCACCTTTCACTTTCATCGATGCATAGAAAAGGGGAGATAACCCGTAAACCCAGTGACGAAGTACCGACACTGTATAGATGGATAAATAAATTCCGGCTTATCTCATTTATTAGTTTTTTCACAAAAAGGAGGTGAATGATGACATATAATATTGAGGATAGAGCTTTGATAACGACGCATATTGTGAGATGAACTCAAATATGCGGTATTATATGAACAGTTCAGAGGTGTATCATTGTATAAAGTTAATGAAAATAATAAAAGCGTTAACCAATATTTTTATTTTGATCATTGAAAAAGATTTAGTGAAAATGAGTTTTTTGTATAATGTGCATTGTTCTGCTTAGTATATCATTTATGGTAGTCCGATCCTCAGGTTTATGAAATTAGCAGTTAAGTAATCAGAACTACTCATAAAAGTATCTCTGAATCCACAAAATTATATAAATTTATCCACAGTAATTCATTAGAGTAAAAGGTTAAAGTAAATCATATTATATAGGGAAAAGTGTCAAATCTCCAATATTTTTGCAGAAAAAGCGAATTGGAATATCAGCAATGCATTTTCTAATTGCAAATTGATCAACAAATATATTTCAGGTTAAAAAACGATAGATATCCAGTCATTCAGAAAAAATTGTCATGATTATTATACTTATTAGGTATTTTTTTTGTCTTTTATTTCCGTCATGTATTCTATATTATATTGTGTAAAAGGCTTTTGCTATCATTGCAAGACACCACAAATCACTTCTTATATCATGCTAATAAGTATTGGTATCTAAGGCTGGATTTAAGAAAATCTTATTTCTCTAAAACTGTATTGATTTTTTTTCCTTTTGTTGGGTACAAATGTCAACATTTATAAGACCTTTTCTAAGACTTCCAAAACCCTTTAATCTTATAGAGATGATTAAAATGAAAATTGTTGCATGAAAAATATTCATTTTCAAGCTTCATTTTGATGCATTTCAAATTAAATATTAATTTTTGGAGTTATCCTTCCTGGCTGAAGATAGAATATCCTTAATATGCAAATTATATATGATCTTAATTGTTTAAGCTGAACACTTTTCATAAATAGGCACCATAAGACAGGTATATAAACCCTTTGGTTTCCTAACACCAATTTGTACACTTCAAGACTTGAAAGTCATGGCCAACATGTAGTATTTCTTGTGTGGCCTTAGTTTTTTTGCATTTATTCTTTGTTTTTATGTGCATTTTCTGTTTGTAAATAATGTATTGACTTATAATTTTTATGATAATTTTCTCCTGCTTTGGAAAAAATTTTCCTAAAATTTGATAATTTCATAGGTATTAGCTCTATGTTAAGCAAACTTGCATGGATGATACATGGAAGGATGCACATAAATGGACTTGCTTTGAATGCTGAATCAAGATTTTCCAGATAATGGACCAGGCTAAAGTAAAAGTTGGAAAAGGTAACCTTTACATTAACTTTACATACACTTAAATATGATGTTATGTCCCACATTGTCTTGACTTTACAAAAAAGTAAAGTTAATATTTACAACCATCAAACACCGTATTTAGGATATATTAAATCTTATAATTACAGATTTTAAATTTAACTAAATACCATCTTTAATTACCACAAAAGTTAATAATTTATATTTTCCATTCCTGTGAATGAAGCCTTATGCAAATTATAAATAAGTTTTTTTCTTTCAAGTCGATGCTGCGGAAGTCTAGACTTCATAATTAATATATAAGAATTAACCAAAAGTTGACTTTAACTTTGTTTCTTACAATTTAAAACATTTTTTTTTTACAAACAAAAATCAAAAACATCAAGATTCTTGACAATATATGTTGCCCACATCCTATCTCGCAAATCACATACACATAAATAAGTATCCAAGACAGAGTTTATTTCACGAGAAATGTTTTTTGTACGTGACATGTTTCCTAATAAAACCAACTGTACATTCTTGAATTTAAAGCTGTGAATCAACATTTCCTGTGTTCCTCTTTCTTGTGTATATTGGTTTCAGTGGAAATCAATGACTCTCAAAATATTTTTGTCACATTTCCCTTTTCAAAGTCCAAAACTTTTCTTCCCATGCAGGCATTCTTCTAATGCTTTTCCTGAAAGAAAAAAATCTATAAGTATATTTTCAGTGCTATGCATAAGTATGAATATTTTCAAAGGTATCTGTTATCAGAATTCACAATACCATGATTAATAAAAATAAAAACAATACACAACCTAATTAATAAATAAAAAGTTCATACATGACCTTTTGAGGTGAAAAATTGTATTAATTCAACAAGACTAGTGGACCTCTTGTTATTGACATATAATATGAAGAATCAATGGGATAGGTCATGTATCCCTTATCACAAAAACCCTAATGCCTAAAATTACAATTTGAGAATTATGTATTTGTTGAAGGTACTTAACACAAACAAAGAATAAATCCCTGAAATATAACGAAATCATAGGTTTTCCTGACTACTCAGTAGTCAGTTTACAAAAAGAACAATATAGTGCTACATATTTAGCTTAGCTGTACATGTATACAGAATGATACTCAAACAATGGTTTAGGATATATGTACCTTTTTCCCCAATAGCATGTTTCTGCTCATGAACTTTTTCCTGATATGGAACAGTAAAAAGACTTTAGGTGAGAGTCCCTCAAGTTGAAGATGACAATCATGCTGAAATAGAATTCATACTGTGATTTACATTTTATACATCTGGACAAATATATAGTCTATATTTTTATTAAAAAATATGAGTTTGAAGCACACGGTCACCAAAGAATGAATTGATTTTGAAAACTAATACACAAGGCAATCACAGTTAATAGTTATGAACTGCTAAACACCTTTATGTTTTTTTTATCAAGCATACTTCAAAATCAGATCTTTACAACACTTGCCATCTATGATATGAAAGTTGAGAACCTGCCTCTTCTTCATGGCAGATCTTTTAATTTTCTCATGGTAGGCTGAGTAGCTTGAGCCTATACTAAAGAAATTGAACATTTTATACGAATACATATTACAATAATGACTCCCGAGCAAGTCAAGCACTAAATAATGTAAATGTTTGTTCAAGTAACATTTCATGAAACTTATTATTTGATTTTTTAAAAATTTGCTTGTACCAAAGAACTTTGGGATCCTCAGTCTGGGTAATCATGTTTTGTCGTCTTCCTCGCCCTGTCTTGATGTTTTCCCTTCAACAATCCGCAGAATGAATTCACTCAACCTGTATTTTAACAAAATGGACAAAGTTTAAAATACAAAATGTTATAAATGAAACAAATTTGGGGTTAGGGTTAGGGTTAACCCTAACCTTAACCCTAACCCTGAGTTGAAACTCTCAGCCAAAGCATAAATACATCTGTAACTAAGTTTTATGACAACTGATTGCGTATATTCTCAGTAATTAGCAAAAACCCGGCTTCAGTTTCAAATTCCCGGCCCGGCTCGGATTTTACTACTCATTTAGTCCCACTTCAGAATTGTTTTGCTTTGTCTTGTTTAATTCCAGAGACCTAAATCTTTACAGATTATTATACAGGTCTGGTACAATCACTAGATTTAGCTGCATAGCTTGATTTACCTTCATAGCTTTATTTACCTACATGAGGTAGCTTTATTTAGCTACCAAATTGATTTATTTCTGTTAAAAAGCAATTTTGTCAGGGTGTGCATAAAATGTCATTTTGATGCAGTGATCATTTTCAACATTGAACTAATCTGAAAACATCTCATGAAAAAATCCCTCTTGGAAAAAATGTCATTTTCTGCGCAATTGCAATCAAAGTTCTGAAAGTTTTGGGGCTATGTATGACAGTTAGAACAGTTACTCCTTGAATGAAATGACAAAGAAGTCCAGTTCCGGTTAACAAGATAATAGGTCGGTAATTATTCAGCACAATATGAAATAATCATACTCGGGCATGCCTCACCGAGAGGACAGTTAACCAAACAATGGAATTACATGTTTTGCTCTAAATTGCCCAAACGCAGCAATTTATAAACTATCTCTGCTTTAGATTGTTTTTAAGCCTCCCTAGTATAAATATCAATAGTCATTTAATTGCGACTTTTTGTCTCTTTTTAATAAAAAGAAAACTTTTGAAAACTTACCTTGAAATAGCTAAATAAAGCTACCTGAGAAAAGCAAATAAAGCTACGTAGGTAATTCTACCTACGTAGCTAAATCTAGTGATTGTACTGGACCTGTTATAAAACTGAAAGAAACACATAAACATTTAATCCCCAAATTATCAAAATACTAATCTAAATTCTGGCAGTAAATGACTTATACATCGTAGTTTTGCCTGACTTTCATTGTTTCACAACATGCACAATTTACTGATCTATGCTGAAAGTGAAAACGGCTGGAAATCGTAAACAAACCTGCAGTGCATGCCAATCCGGGAGTCCGAGCAGTTGTCAAGGCAAGAATCTCCTTAAATCTAGATGAGGTTTCAAAAAATTACCACTGGTTGCAAACTTCGTCAAAATAGCGGTGCAAACCCGTTCAACTTGATTTGAAATGATTGGCTATTCAACCGACTACACTGTGCCATATTTGGGTTACTGTTCAAAGTAGATCGTTCGTTTTACATTTGAGAAGAGTTTACATATTACTTGAATGAAGAGGATAACAGAATACTGAGCTGAAAATTTTGTGTAGAGTATGTTTTTAGTAGTTTACAATAAAGGCTGTAAATGTGCGGGAGATTTTATTGATGTTGAAACTTGTAAACAAAACCTTTTTCTTATTCAGGGCAATAAATGGGAACCAGAGCAGGGGACCAGTCTAAAAAGCAAGAAAATTCCGCCAAGAAAACAACACAGAAAGGAATTTGGGATGTTATCAGTTGTATACAGTATGTGCGACGGTGACTGCAAGGTAATAAATGTGTCTTGTTTGTTGTTAATAATTCGTTTCATTTTATTATGGAAATTTATCCGCCAAACATTGGCAGAAATAAATTTAATCTGATTGCAAAAATACACCGTTCGCTCTTTAATTTTTTTTTTAGATTTTCATTGTATATCTTTTGTAGATACAAAGAATGCCATTATGGGGAGCTAACCCATGCTGCTGAGGGTGGAAAGGTCTCGCTTTTAAATAGTTGTGATCTGAGACATCAGTCACATACATGTGTATTTAGGTAATTTCCTTTGATTTTTTTGAATAAATTTTTCAGCCAATATAAATCTATAATTCTAGAGATAAACATATTTTAAACATTGACTACTTGGTTTTATCTAAAGGAAAGTATATTGTTTTCTCACTTTTTTTAAAAAGGCTGGGTATGGTGAAGAGATAAATCATATCTTTATTTAAAATTTTATTGTGTATGCATTTGTACAGGGAGTCTATATACACTTGAGCTGAGCTGCAGATAGGAAATATGGAAGAATTTCAGATGTTGTGATGAAGATATTTAAGAGTGATCATCATCATCTAAATGTGCAGGTCAGAACTCACAGGTGAAGATCAGACTTCAATGTGTAATCAAGAACTGCTTATATTTTGCTTAACTTAGTGAAAGCTTGCCACAAACATTTTAAGTAACCTAGCAAGTTTCAAGGCTATTACACAATGTATCATATGTTTGACATTGAGCCTTATTGTCTGCATTTCTATTATGTTTAGTTATAAATGTTTTAAGTTACCGAATTATGTCTTTCAAAGCCTGTGCTTTAATTTCAATAGAAGTAATGTAAACCTTTTTTTCTCTATAATTTTGAAAATGATGTTTATTATTAGGACAGTTTTTGTAAACCACCTGAAAGATCTGAGTACCCTGATGACTGTTGAACTGATTGGTGACTGAGAAAAGATGTCAGAGAGGAGAATCCAAAAGGGATGTCTTGATCAAGAATATATACTGTTATGAATGATATGGTCAAGAATATGTAAACTAAGAAATATCCTTTTATAGATTTATAGATGAACATTCAAGCATTCATAATTATGAAAGCTAGTTATTCATCCAGAGAGTTTTTGCATAAATTTAATTTTCAGTACAATCATTTAAACTGGATATGTAATTTTCGGTACAATTATGTGAAATGAATATGTAACTTATTATGATTGTCAATTTCTTAAGAGGAAATAACTGCAGTACATATATATGATCATTCTTTCAGAACAAAGCACACTGAACTTTTTTCTCTGTGTGCATCATACACTTGTTAACATTTTACACCACCACAGTGACACATTTTAAGCACACTGAACTTTTTTCTCTGTGTGCATCATACATAAGTAAACATTTTACACCATCATAGTGTCATATTTTCCAAAGCGTGTTAACTCGAGCACATACATGAAAATGTGTGAAGCTGAACACATATGCAATCACACAAGCATCTACCACAACCTATAACATATTTTTAAGGCGTGTGAAGTGGAGCACATACATGAAAATGTGTTAAGCTTGATACATATGCAATCACACAAGCATATAACACAACCTATTACATATTTTCCAGGGCGTGTGAAGTCGAGCACATACATGAAAATGTGTGAAGCTGAACACATATGCAAACACACAAGCATCTACCACACACATAAGAACATTTAATCCAAAGAGGTCAAGCTCAGACAGGCTCACTGGGTGAAGCTGAACACATACATATTCTCATACATTTTGCAAACTTTATCTTTAAATATTCTCACAGATGATTTAGTATTTTTCTTTTTTGTGAATATGTAAACTGCAACATTTTTCATTGTAAATTGAAGATGTCAAGATGTTACTAGCCTGTATATAAATGCATATCAAATAGCCTTTCATGTACTTTTTTCCCACTTTTTTTAATTTCATGTATTAAAACTGCAAAGTTTATTTTATATATGTACATGCACCAAAAATAATAGTGTTTTCCAACATTTCGTAATATAGCGAGAAAACATTGTATGATAGAAACATATTTTAGAGATTTTGACTGTATATGGTAGGCGTGGCCAAAGGAAGGCCAATGAGAAGACAGTATTCAGTAAGGTGTTCTTCACTACACAAACGTTTTATGCTTTATATATAATATATTTCATGTTTGTATAAATATACCGGTAATGGAAGTAACAATATTCTTGAAATGTATTTAATTTTGATTTTTCATACATGCAAATATCATTAGGATGTTCATGCAATTTTAAATAATACACCGAATGCACGTCCGGCATTCTCCCTTGAGACATTATTTACATAGCGACGGACACAGGTTTTTCATAGTTAATCGTCTATGGCTTTTGCCTGAGCGGTTTTTAATGTCTGTGATAGTGGTATAATTTGTTACACAAAAAATAATTTACAAATACATGTACATTGCAGTGGTTTATTTTTCACATACAATGTAATGTATGTTCAATAATTATGTATTGTTATCAAAATGAAACCAGCTGCTCCCACTAAGCTAGCATAATACAGCATAGGTGTTGTATTATTTGAGGTGTATTCTGTTAAATAATGAGTGGAGATTATCAATAACATTGTATTATATTTGAAAGTGAATTGGGACCTTTTCAGTTTTCATATAAAGCAGAAATGTGATTTTTTTATACATACCACCGGTATTTTTTTTCTATTTTGTATTACATGTATCTGAATGTTTACACAGAAACAAATGTAAAAGATTAGCTCAATGTTTATATTCAAGGTTATTGATTGTGCTGTATAATTTCTGACTCGTATAATAATAATAATAATAATAAAACTTTATTTAAAGAAGGTAACCTGGTTAGTGCATGCACTATTCTTCCCCAGGGCCCTCTATATATATACATATATCAAATACAAAATATATACACTTTGTCAAGATACAATTCATAATTATATACAATTAAGTACATGTAATAGGTTTGATGAATTACAATCACTGAATTATGAATAGAGTGTTCAAATACAGACACATTTTAACAATAACAGTACAATATACAATATTGAACTCTTATTATGCTCAAATGATTGTACGACAGCTGATAATGTAATTTTCCACATTACGCTTGAATTTTCGTAGAGATTGAGAGAATCTAATGTGTTGGGGAAGTTTATTCCATAGATGTACACCTGAATATTGAAAAGAGGTCTTGAATAAGTTTGTACGAAATTTTGGTAATCTAAGATCATAATTAGTTTCAGATCGCAGGTCATAAGAAGTTGAAGACTGAAATTCAAATAAATTACGAAGATATTCGGGAGTCATTCCACTGAAAATTTTGTATAATAATATGTATTTGTATAGATCAACTAGTTCATAAACTGTTAACCACCCAAGTTTCTCAAACAGTGATTTAGAAGAAGAATCAGGACTTGCGTCAAGGATAATCCTTGCTGCCAATTTCTGTAATTTAAATAGTCTGTCCATGTCCTGCTTGGGGGTATTACCCCAAACAGTCAAACAATAGTTAATAGATGGTAAAATATAAGCGTTGTAATAAAGTTTCCTGGTGTGAAGAGGGAGAAATTTCTTAATCCTACGAAGCGTAAATAACTTATAATTACCCGTTTTACAAACTTAGTCAATATGATTTGCAAACTGTAACTTATCATCAATATGTACACCAAGAATTTTTCCAGTTTCAACAATTTCAATTGTTTTGTCTGAGGCATAAAGTTGCAAATTTGGATTATATAATTTTGATTTTCTTTGCTGTGTTCCCATTAACATACATTTTGTTTTATCTACATTTAAAACCATTTGATTTTGAGCACACCATTTTTCAATCTCACAAAGATCTGCATTTAGCGTATTTTCCAAACATCGTGCATTATGATTATTTGAATACAGAGTAACATCATCAGCAAACATATCAATATTTGAATTGTTTACATGTAATGGAAGGTCATTTATCTACAATAAAAATAAAAGAGGGCCCAGAATTGACCCTTGTGGCACTCCTGCTGTGACGGGTTGAATATTGGAGACACATGTTCCAAATTTAACACACTGGGTCCTGTCGTAAAGATATGACTTAAACCATTTTATAGCTGTTTGGTCAATATTGTAATGATTTAATTTCTCTAGAAGAATATCATGATTCACCAAATCAAAAGCTTTACTAAAATCTATAAATGTAATGCCGATTAGTTCACCACGATCCATTGCATTAAGCCAACTTTCTGTTAGTTTTGTAAGTGAAGTTTGACAAGAATGGAGTTCCCTAAATCCCGACTGGGATTGTGTTAGTAGATCAAATTCATTAGTGAAGTTTTGTATTAGCTTAGCTACATGTTTTTGTATCAGTTTAGATATAGTTGGTAAAATAGCAATAGGACGATAATTATTCGGGTCAGCTTTGTCACCTTTCTTAAAAATAGGTGTTACTTTGGCTTGTTTTAAATTTGTCGGGAAAATACCACTTACTATGATAGCATTAATAAGATGAGTTATAGGTTTACATATATATTTGGATGCGACTTTTAGAAGACGCGGCCCAATAAAGTCAATGCCAGCTGATTTATTGATATTTAGAGAATTTAGCATGTTAAAAACTTCACTTTCATCAATTTGATGAATACTAAAGATGGTTTCCTCATCAAGCTTAGACCTAGCAAAATTACATAATATATTAGGATCATAATCATGTTTAGGCATTTTCATCAGAAGCTTATTAGAGATATCCGTAAAGTGGTTATTAAAAGTATTTGCAATATCCTGTAAATTGTCAACAATTTCCCCATTAGAAAACACATGAGATGGTGTTATGTTCTTTGAATTACATGTTAATTGATTAAGATAGTTCCACATTTCTTTGGGATTTGAACTTTGTTCAATAGCTGTTTTATAGTAAGACGATTTTGATTTGTCTATAAGAAGACTAACTTTGTTTCGATAAATTCTATAGTTCTCCATATCTCCTTCTTTATGGTAAGAGTCCCTTAAATGTCTAGCATTGTTTATTTCTTGTGTCATCCATTTAGGGCGGATTTCGCTCTTTACGCGTTTTGTTTTAACCTTTGCATGCTGGTCAAGTATGCTATTAAATAATTCATAGAATTCAGTTAGTATTTCATTAGGGTCATGCATCTGGAGGAGATTGTTAAAGTCTACATCTTTTAAGTCGTGAAGGAATTTATTTTCATCAAACTTTTTGAAGTCTCTATACTCTATTTCTATGTGTTTTCCTTTTTGTTGCATGTATTTTGTTTTTCTAGTGGCACATATTGGGTAATGATCAGAGATGGCTATAAAAGGTACATTTACTTCACACATGTTATCTGGTTTATTGGTGTAAAAGTGATCTATTAGGGTGCTTGAGGTATTAGTTACTCTGGTTGCTGATGTAATTAACTGTGAAAAATCAAATTCTTCTAAAGCATATGTCCAACTTTGTGGGGGTTCTTTGAATAAGTCTACATTAAAGTCACCTGTTAAGATAATTTCTGCATCGTCACAGCAGGAGGCACGGTTAATCTCTCTAGCCAGGTCTTCCGCCCAGCAGGAGAGAGCAGATGGTGGACGATACGCTGAACAATAATAAATTAGTTTAGAATTCTTTGAATTTAATTCTAGCCAGATTGTTTCAATATCACCAATTTCAAAATCAGTTCTACGCTTGTATCTTATATTATCGGAGATATTTACTACAATTCCACCACCTTTCCTCAGAGTGCGATCCTTCCTTTCCATTTCAAAGCCATCAATATTCAACTCAGAATCACTAAATTTATTCAAAAAGGTTTCACAAAGTCCTAGGATATTAAGATCTTGTTTGTTTTGAAGCAGAATTTTAATTTCTTCAATTTTTGGCATTAGGTGGCAAATGTTAAGGTTTCCAAATTTTAATCCCTTTTTCATCAAACCAAATTTACTTTTACTTGTTACACTGTCATTTTTTGTTATAAATACAGTAGATTCGTCTGATTGTTGTGAAACCCTCTTGGCAACAAAATTAGGCCTATTAATATTTTTCTCTGTCTGAATGAATTTATGCGAATTAGATAAAGTGTTTGACTTAATTCTAGAATTTTGAACAAATGT